CTGTCTGCTTGCTTCGCCAGCAGCACTGGCGGTGCCACCACTAACATTAAACGTCTTCGTTTCAACGACATTTCACCTCAATTCGGGGAGCACAACACAACGGTGACGGCGTCGAGACTGACGGCTGTTTTTCGCAGCCCTCTTTTTGCGGAGTAGCTGCGTTCTCGCCGTCCGCTTCCGACACAAAAGCAAAACGGCGGAATGGCTGGAGTCACGTGACCGGTCGGCAGCCAGATCTCTCGCGCGCTCCCACATCCAAGCCAGAGCGCCTGAAACCGCTCCGATTTGGAGGCCGGCGAGAGTCGGAGCTTCGAGAGCGCTCCGAAAGAACCAGGCGAATATACTTGGAGCGCCTGGCATCGACAAGCCGAATGCACACCGGCTTTTCAGAGCCCTCCAAGAGGCCGAAAAACGGCCAGCCGAATATACCATTATATTTTCTAGAGCCACCGAGCTACTCAAACGATGTATTTTGGTCCTTTGCTGCAACAGCGAGGGGATTTCATCGAAGTGGAGTTTCATTTGCTTCAAATCTGATGGCTTCAACAGTCGTGCCAGGTGTGCCCCTGGATCGCACTCTTGGCGCTGTTTCAGTGGCTTCATCAGCCCGTTAGCTGCGCTCTTAATTTAACCCCCCCTCCTTTGACAACGCCTCACACAAGAGCTGCGGCGGAGCGCGCTCCACCCTCTCCCTCTTGCGGGCGGGAGCGCCAGGAAGAGGACTTCTCTGTGGGGTGGTGTTCCTTAAAACTATGACGCGTCGCGGCCAATAGCTACCTACACTCTGAAAAAGCCCGTGCGTCTACTTTCCCCCAAAACACTCAGATAGCCAATCACAGCAACTTACAGGGGCAGCTCAGCGAAGGACGATGCCGAAACATAGGTTTAGACCAAAAAACGCAGTACGAGTTGTGACATTAAGCGATGCAAAACGTCACGCTTGCATTGCCTAATGTCACAACCCAGACTGCGTTTTTTTGGTCTAAACATGTGTTTCGGCCTCGTCATTCGCTGAGCTGCCTCCGTAAGTTGCGGTGATTGGCTCTCCGAGTGTTGTGCGGGAAAGTAGACGCAGGAGCCTTTCATAGAGTGTAGGAGCCATTTCTCTAGAAATTTCTTGCCCATTTTTCGCGGTTACAGACGCCGGCTGCTCCGCTCCATAGAACAGTTTATGCTTCCGCAATGATTTTTTTTATTAATGTAAAACAAAAATTTTAGCGAGAAATAATGATTTTAAGCAATATATCGGATGAGGCGAAAGATAATGCGTTCTGGTTCTGGCTCACATAAGCCGGGAATCACACTGCTCATACATCGTACAAAAGACAGTCTGCGTACAGATACGAACTCGAGTCACCGGGAGATCCGTGCTTCGAATGCCGCATGGCAGTGAGTTCCTGGAGAAACCTTAGCACGCAGCGTTCTAACCACGGATATTGCGGTGATCAGTGTTTTCAGATTGTCTTTTGTATGATCTATGAACGGTTTTGATTCCGACGTTAGGACACACAAAATAGACCGATCTCATCGAGCGTCCCGCGCATGCGTGACGCCGTCATAATTGTAGTTCACAGCAGGCAGGCGACAGTACACGAAGCAGCTCGTGCCGTCTCGTGCTCCGCTCGTGCTGACTCGCAGCCTCTAGTTATCGCGCTTGCAGAAAGACTACAGTTCCCAGGATGCATGCCGGGGACGTAGCGACGCTGGCTGGTGAGATCGGTCTATTTGGGCGACTTGGTTCACGATCACGTAGGTAAGCGCCATAGAAATACAGGGACTAGAGTAGACAGACAGGGGTACCTCTCTCTGCCTAGTTCATTGTCCATATTGTTGTTGTTGTTGTTTTTGGGCGCTTGCCTACATGATCATACAGAATAGTTCTGAAAACCTTTAATCCGAAGGTGCATCGGGCTCATGTGAATTGTTATACCCCGTTTTATTTTAAAGCAATACCAACGCATACGAGTCAACGTTGCCTATCAAACTTCTAAAAAAACGCTAAATCACGGGCATTTTACGTGTTCCTTACCGCCCAACTGAGCCAATCAAGCGCTAAGAACGCCCCATAACTGCGCGTTTTGACCTGTGCGTTTGTGTTTGCGTTGCAGCCAGCTTTTGTCTCTTATAAAAAACGAGTTAGAGGAATATTCTAGCGTATTTTTGTCCCGTGAATTTGAATATCAAAAGCATTTGACACGAGTGCACGAACAGACGCGAGAAAAACCAGAAAAGCAACCTGGCAAGTATCACGTGATACCCAGAAGTTTCAGCTGCCTCGCGTGTGCAGTTTGTAAGGGAACGCGTGGAGCGATTTGGACTGTTCGGTCAAGGCACGCGGAAAGCTAGGAAACGTTGACATCTCCGTATATTGCGTCATGATTCCTCCTCACACCAAACTATCCGGGAAAAAGGGGCTTCAGCGTTATTATGAAAGCGCTGTTGTGGCTACTTGGCGCATCAATCTGATACATAATTTTGATATTGATATTTTCATATAATAAATAAAATAAATAAATAAAAATAAAGAAAGATATTCGCGATCCTGGAGTAATTTTGATATTGATATTTTGATATATTAATAAATAAAATAAATAAATAAAAATAAAGAAAGATATTCGCGATCCTTGAGTAATTTTGATATTGATATTTTGATATAATAAATAAAATAAATAAATAAAAATAAAGAAAGATATTCGCGATCCTGGAGTAATTTTGATATTGATATTTTGATATAATAAATAAAATAAATAAATAAAAATAAAGAAAGATATTCGCGATCCTTGAGTAATTTTGATATTGATATTTTGATATAATAAATAAAATAAATAAATAAAAATAAAGAAAGATATTCGCGATCCTGGAGTAATTTTGATATTGATATTTTGATATAATAAATAAAATAAATAAATAAAAATAAAGAAAGATATTCGCGATCCTGGAGGCCAAGCAAAAACAATTGACTTTTTTTTATGTACAAAACCGCTTTAGATTTTTTTTTTTTAATGAAACGGAGTATAGTTGTTCTATCGAAAGTGCGGAGAGGATATTCACAGCTACATTCTTAAGATGTGCTCCGCCAGCTCTTTTTGAATGCGGTACAATGCATGTGGATCGCAGATGAGTGCTACTTGACCTATACTGCAGAATTCAGCAAAGAAGGAGTAGCCTGAAGGGAATGGGAGTATCGCAGTTCAGTCATATGACTTTCGCTCACAGGTGTATATGTACGAGCAAGCAGTCACGCGCAAGAAAGAAGTCCGACGTTATGGAACATAATACCGAAGGTTCAGATGTTGCCAGATGATGGGATACACGCTTTGTTATATGTTTATAAATCTTTAAGATAGCGTTACGAATAAAACATAGGGATTATTCCCCTGTCCTCAGCACGAACTGTTGATAAATAAACTTATCATACGCAATTAACAACAGTGCTGTCGGAGCGAGAGAAAACTGGCGAATGCTCGTTTTCAGCACACCGCCTAACAACTATATATATAAATCACACTTAATGGCGAAGAAACACTGTGACTGATTGGTGGCTGTGACTTTGATTGGTCTAGCCGCATTTTAATGCCATTAAAGTACGTAGTCAGTTGAAGCTGGTATGACCAATAGGAAACTAATCGTACGACTTTAACCTCAGAGACGCAGTGCGCGTTTTTTTTTTTTCTTTCTTTTTCCGAAGCTTGTTTTGTCCAGGGCGAATTATTTATGCCCATTTCGAATTGGCATTACGTGGTCCTTTAGCTCGCTCCAACTGTCAAACTGAAAATGGAAATTAAAAAAAAAAAAATAAGGCGAAAAACTGTTCGACCGGCAAGGCAAAGGACCTGGCTTTGGAGCAGGTGCCTGAGCCTTCTTTTTTGGCTCGCGCTCTTCGCTAAACTGAGTCGACATAAACGTCGACCGAAGCACCGAAGCCTCCGAAACCAACACCGGGGAAACGTGCCTCTCGCGTATAACAAAATGCGCAAAAAAAAAAAAAAAAAAAAAAAAAAATCTTTCAGCCTTTTTATTTTGGTGAAGAAGGAAGAGCAGCGGAGCTGTGCTATGTGCCGCCATCTATGAACCATGGCGGACACCAGAAAACCGGCAAACCAGTTGTCTGATTGCCGTCGTTGCTCAAAGAAGGCGGCAGCTGTCCAGAAGGTTGTGTCGAAATTGATTTGTCCAGGGACACGAAACTGGGGAAACTAGCCCTAAACATCTCCGCTGTAAAAGTCAGGGGGATGGATCGCATGTGCTGCCAAAAAAAAAAATTGGGTTGTGTGTGTGTTTTTACAGCCTAGAACTTGGTCTGCCTCACAGGGGCGACGAGTCTCCCAGCTGTAGATGAGCAATTTAGCCAGTGCAGTACAACCGGTAGCCTGGGGCCTTTAACGTGCACCACGCAGTAGTGATACACGACCGCACGCCGGTACGATGCTCATCCAGATCGAAACGGGCAGGGGTGGGGATTGAACCCCGGATCTCTGGGTTCTGCAACGCGACACGTGCTGCCAAGCTTTGCTGCGTGCTGATGTTCGGCGTCACCCGCCTATGGCCTTTGCTGGGCGCAGATTACATACGAATGCTGCCTGAACGTTCATCTGGAACTCCTGTCTTGCCTGCTTGAACACGAGTTCCGGCCTCATGCTGCCGCAGCACTCGCGTCCAACCTTTATCCCACCACGCTGGCCTCAAGCAATTGACGTAGAATCTCAGGCAATGTAAGCCTTGTTATCCAGGAGGTGTGCACCCCGTACAACGTGAAGACGGCAGGTTCTGAGAGTGGTGCTAAAGTGTCTAGAACGCGTGACTAGCGTGATTAACCTCCTATTCCGTCCCCGCATTGAAAGAAGTAGCGAAGTAGCAACAAATGACGTCACAAAAGGTGGAGTGTCACGCTGTTGGGTGTCGCGATCCCAGAGGTCGGGCGTAAAAGTTCTTGCAGATACGTTTTCCCCCGCTCCTGGGTTCCCATGTCAGTACGGGACCAGCTCACATGTACAGTTGCTTTAGTTCAAGTCATTATTTTTAAGACTATATATTAGTAGGGGAATTAGTGACTGAAATATGTTACCGGTTCGAGACTGATCCTGGAAGTAGTACCTGTAAGAAAAACGCGCGTTTTCAATCTAGATCTTCACATTGCCGCGACGGTGCCAACTACTTCTCAATTACTTACGCAGTTAGCATAGCGGTGACCGTAGCGTTTTCAAACTGCGACCGGTTTTGTGACGCAAATCTTTTTAAACCCCACAGAGCAGTATAGCCATCCAACCTTCCATCTCCATCAATGCTGGTTTCATATATCGTTTTCTGTTCAGACTCCTGAAAAATGACACCTCGTCGCAAGAACAGGTTTATACTTTGCATGTCAAGTTTTTTTTATACTATTTTTAGACTCCACCTACGCTGAGTACAAAGCAAGCGACCGTTAATAAGGCACGATGCATGGAAGTTACGTTCTGGGCAGGATAAAAGACGACATTTCACTTTAAAGCAGCGATAACACTCATATACACTCATAACACTTACGTACAAAAGACTTTCTGCAAAGATATTCAAAGCGTACATTCGTATGAAACAAAGATACTTCGGACATGTTTGAGGCGCGCCCGCAGATAAGTATGCCATCCTTTCTTTTGTGTGATGTACGAGGAAGTGTGAGTGCCGCTTTATAATTGTCGCCACTAATGTTATACTTATGGGACCGGTTTCGTGTGTTTCTAACAATCTCGAACCGTCATCAGACGCGTAATTGGATCAACAGCTGTCTGAGAAGACGTTCAACATGTACCATCGATCACGCAGAGTCAAGACGCACTTCAGAGTTCCCTTTTCTTAACACTTTCCAGACATTCACAACTTTGAGGCGCCGACGTTCGCACGTTTCCGACTACATTTATTTCACCCGCTTGCGCGATGATAGCGCTCGGATTTCGAAAGCATGCCATTACGCGTGACGAATACTTCCGGTTTGAACACTCAGCGGAATTCACGCTGTGATGCTTCACCCTGTGAGTTTCTATGCGTGAAAGAAACATTTTCTTTTGTTTTTTTGTGTGTTTTCTTTCTCTTGTTCGAGGTTTTTTGTGGTGTGAATAGCCGCGGCGTGCAGCAATCGCGGTTGCCTTGTCTCCATTAGCGAAAGTAGAATTGATCATACTCATGACGTCGCAGTGAGCGTTTGGCCAATCGTGGAAGACCCACCAGGGAGACGCTTTTGACCGCGCACGTCGCGAATTTACGAACAAAACACGCTTCGTCAAGAAGGCAGAAAGTGAACTTTCCAACACTACGACTGCTTAAGGGGAGAAGCAAGCCTAGGGGGTACACACCCACCGGCTTGATTACTTACGTAATTTTAAGACTAACTAGAAAAAAAATCAGTTTGCTTTGAGGAGGTTAAAAACGTCCATGGTATCTAGAGGAGCTTCAACTGGCAGTCAAATTGTATAGGTAAGGGTTTTATTTTGTAGAAGGGTGTGTACTTGGGCTAGTTGGTTATTCATGAATAGGAGGTAAAAGCGCTAAAAAACGACGGACAAGTTGAAGAATGACGAACACCACAGAGCGCTAACTTGCAACTGAAGTTTATTACTGAAAAACACGTACACCTATATACACCGTGACATCAAAAAGACAAGTGGCAATAATGCCGCTTCATCTATCTAAGGTTAATCTATGAATTGTTTACTCTTTCGAATGATTTCAAATATGCCACCTCAGAGCTATACAGGTTTACTGAGGGAGCGCTGACACACTTGCCCTGATCGTACTTCAAAATAAAAAACGCCTCCGATATCTCTCTCGTTTTTTTGTCTCTATTCCGAGTTAAGATAACGGTGTTGTCAAGCCGTGGGACACACCCACATCTGTTACAGTGTACAGCCAGATTGCCCGAGGGTGATGATCTAACTGACATCAGTTAGATCATCACCCTCGGGCAATCTGGCTGTACACTGTAACAGATGTGGGTGTGTCCCACGGCTTGACAACACCGTTATCTTAACTCGGAATAGAGACAAAAAAACGAGAGAGATATCGGAGGCGTTTTTTATTTTGAAGTACGATCAGGGCAAGTGTGTCAGCGCTCCCTCAGTAAACCTGTATAGCTCTGAGGTGGCATATTTGAAATCATTCGAAAGAGTAAACAATTCATAGATTAACCTTAGATAGATGAAGCGGCATTATTGCCACTTGTCTTTTTGATGTCACGGTGTATATAGGTGTACGTGTTTTTCAGTAATAAACTTCAGTTGCAAGTTAGCGCTCTGTGGTGTTCGTCATTCTTCAACTTGTCCGTCGTTTTTTAGCGCTTTTACCTCCTATTCATGTTTTATTTTGGTTTGAGAGTAGACGGTTTTCAAAAAGCCGCTCCCGTCGGCGGCCGAAATTATTTTAGTGAGTGTCGCCAGTGCGAAATCAAAAGGAAACACAGAGCCTAGTAAGCATGAGTTGATGCTGCTCGAGTACGTCCCTGCTCTTACTGATTGAACTCTGTCCTCGACGGTGCCACTCGCCATGCTTGTGCGTTTCGTCGACACCAAAACCGATGCTAATAACTAATCGTCTGCATGGGAACTAACGGGGAAATGGGGTTTCGTAAAACCATCCCATTTCGCTGAGGCTGCAACATCACTGATGCATGGTGCCGATCGCCAAGTACGTCAGGGTGCGGCAAGCACACTCTGGTATTTCTGAGCGTGTAGAACCCCCACGCGTGTACTCCACTCGGGCTATCTTACACTAAGGCAGCTGATTCCAACCAGCCTCAAAACGGGTCTCAGATCGTGTGGTAGTCGGCTGTACGTTGCTCTCACCTACAGAAGAAAAAAAAAAAACGAGACATCTTATTTATATCGATGATTGAGAACCTTGGTCATGCCGAGACGGGCAAAAAATTAAATTCCGCCGCAATAAAAATAATTAATTACGAGAGCGGCAAACCCGGCAACGGGGCCGAAAAAAAGCAAGCTCTTCTACTACTGAGTTCACTCTACAAATGCACATTTTCCCGAAGTTCTTCGTTTAGTTGAGCACGCAAGCACCTTTCTTCTTTATTTTTATACAAAACCTAAGCATGTCAAATATATACTCTGTTTCATACTTAGCGTGCAACGCTGCAAAGCTACTGGCGCGAGCGTGGGGCTTGATCTCGTTGATCATTTGCACGAGTTCTCGCGCAAACAAAACTATAGATGAAGTCCCGCGCTCGCGCCAGTAGCTTTGCAGCGTTGCACGCTAAGTATGAAACAGAGTATAGTAACATAGAAAAGTGCAGTGTGCGAACAGGACGTAATGGCAGATGGAACCGCAAAATCAGCTTTAAATTTACTCTACGGGATAAAATATTTTTAGTTTATGTTTATAACAATTATTTTGTATTCTTTTAGATTTCTTCTATTCGCTAAGACCTCGTTTGGTAATTATGCGCGCACGTTCCTACGAAAACAAGACGTGGAGCTTTATTGAAAAAAAAAACAAAATAACGACGAGACGGCATAAACACATGCCGAAACGGGACTGTCCCGGGCAAAAACAGGACGTCTGGTCACCCCTTACTTGGGAGATGTCACGTCATCGCACGATCAAGTAACCCGATTTTTCTTACAGTCGCAGTCTTTTTGGATCATATCAGGCGAATGCGCTGACTCTGAGGTATTTCGGATTTTTTTTTAATTCACAAAAAGCAAAGCCTAGACCAATTTATTGCTGTCTTCAAGAAAATAAATCCCAAAAAGGGAGGAAGCCTACAGGAACACAATGACTAAGTCATAACTGCGTAAATATAAAGCGATCCGAAGCTCCAGGAGGCAAAATAATGAAAGCATGTATTTTAGACAGATCGTGAATGGGCTAAATGAGCGTTAATTTGGTCGCCTTCAAGAAACAAAAAAAGACAAAAAATCTCAAATAAAATAACGCGTGTCTTTTCTATTTCTCGGTGGCTGTACATGGCACTAATCGGTGCTAAAGTGGCTAAAGTTTTTCACGGAAAATACATTATTTAGCATGGACTTTCGTTTGTTGTTTTATCTTTTTTTTAACTGCGGGACTAATGATTTTTCTACTTACTCCATTCGTCAGAACCTTCATGTAAAGACGCTGATCTCCAATATCCTTAAACAATTTGCAATGTGAGTAGTCCGACAGGAGATATAAGTTAACGTAGCGAGTCTGCGAAGGAACTGCATAAGAACAGGAAGTAATTGTCAGCTCTGTCGGTCTCGATGAAATACTATGCGGAACGAAAGTTCGTCTGCTTCTTTTGCAGGGGCTGCGGTGACGTCAGAACGATGCCTACCTCTGATTGGCTCCGATTGAAGGATAGTGGGTAGACCTCAAAGCAAGCTGCCTTGACGTCGACCCACTATCCCTCAATCGGAGCCAATCAGAACTCGGCGTTTTTCTGACGTCATCACAACACCTGCGCAAGGAGCAGACGAACTCAAGCTTAGTGTTTTTGGTAATGTCGAGTCAGTTACTAAGACGGCCATAAAAATTATTACGGGTCAGAATTTCATTATCTTCCTATTGCACGTCGTGACTTCGAGGATGAGAGCGGCCGGGACGCATTTCAGTTGTTGTCCCACATCAAACGCGAGCTACCTCGCTTCGATAACACTCAGGTGGCTCGCGAGCTTCGACCGTGCTGGCGCAATCAATGCACGGTAGAAGGCAACCAGAGCGTGCTGGAAGCCTTGCCGTTCTCATTGTGCCAGTGACTATAGTAGGACACGAGTAAATTCTTTCATTATACATAAAATAAAAGTGTCAGGAAGTCGTTTTCCCCTGTTTATTGTCGAGATTAAAGACTCGAACACAAGTGCGAAAAATTCCTGGCGAAAAACGCACGGAATTCGAAAGATGCAGACGTCGAACCTCCCAGGCCATTTTTAAGAAACGAGGTTATTTACTGCACACAAATAGCGACCATGGATTTTGTTAAAAGTATATCCTCGATTTCTGCACATTAAAAATCTATTGTGTTTCGCGTTTTTTTTTTTCTTGGCTTTTTGTTTTCAAGAAATTATGCGGAATTATTATCGGACGTTTTTTTGCAAATGGTGTTTGAGTCTTGAAGGCAGAAACACATGGTGCTAGAAACCCACGGATAAACGCTCGAAATTCTGAACACGCTTAAAATCGCTCCACGCTGTTATATGTAAAGCACGAAGTTCAAAATGTTGGATTTCGACAACAACGGAGAAGCGCTGTTGTCTGGAGGCCGCCACAAAAGGCAATGAAAATATCTGCTCTCTTAAATCGTCTTTTTTTTTTTTTTTTAGTTTAGTGTAAAGCGCACAAGTGCGATTCTAACGTGTGTTTGTTTTACCTCCCAAAGATGGTGAAGAAATGTTGTGTCCTGAATTTCGTGCGGTTTTCGGTTGGTTTTTCTCCCACGTGGTCCCACCTATAGATCTTACTATTTTGTTCCTATATTCCCTCCTTCGTAAAGGTTTGTTTAGCTGCATTGTTCCACAAAGGCTGGAAATCCAATTGCCAGGCTCCTATATTATCCGCAGTACAGCAAACAGAAGCGTGTGGTTGTGATAAACGTTTTCGGCACGAACCGCCGAGAAAACTCCCAACAACTTGCTGTGCCCATAGATCATATCTGAAGAAAAAGTACTTCGGAAATAAAATTTAATTACCACTGCAACTGCTTCTCTACTACTTAATTTTAATTCAAGTTGCTACCTCCTAAACGTTTATTGATTACAATGACAGATAACTTTTATAGAGTAATGCAAACACTTTGCAAGTGCTTTACTTTTAAAGGTGTACCAGAGTGCAATGCCGTGTAGTAATATATTTCAAGTCTCAACTTTGGGGATACATTAGACGTCATTCTACATTTGTCACATGTTGTGCCTTTATTTCCCCTCTTGATTACTCATGTAATTGTGGTGTGAGCCAGTTTTTTTTTTTTCAACAATATTTAAATTGTAGATTTCTGTTTATTATGGCATTTCAAATGAAATGTGGTATTCCCAGTATTCTACGCACCTAGTATTCTACGCACAGCTACTATTTATTTTGGTCAAAAAGAAATATTTTTGAGATTACACATTACAGAAATGTTTATAGCAGTAATTCAATTACTGTAAATGAATTCCTACCCAGGGAAAGTTAACTCTGCTCGGTTTATTCATGTGTTTTCTGGAGGTCCTTTTCGCTGGAGGATGCTGTTACAATACGCGTCCACATCAACTTCCGGTCAAATGAAAGGACTAACAATCCCCAACATAGCACTGCTACTTGCAACGTTCATGAAATAGCTGCTCTGCAAAAAGATCGGATACTGATAGATTTCTTCAATATTTGTGAATACTCCCCTGAAACGAGTGGTCATCTATTATAGGTTGAATAGTAGAATAGCAGAAGAACGTTGCTAAACTTTCAACTTCGACGTTTCTCTGGCAGTTCAGCGTCCTACCAATCGTGGCATAAACATATATAAAACTTGCTATTGGGCTAATTGGTGAATGTTAGGAAGCATGGTGTAAGGCGCAAGAAACAACAAATACAAGGAAGGTCTGTGTCTGTGTCCTCTTCGTTGTGACCCTTATTTTTTTGCGCCTTCCACCATGCTTCCTAACATAAACATATACTCGGGGAAGGTCTGCCAGAACGGAGCGGCCTGAGGTCTCTCGAGAGACAAGAGACGGCTCGTGCTTGTGAACACGAAACAAGCGTTTATGTTTCAAATAATACGAACACCAGACTAAACTAGGCTGAAGGGAAAACGAAACACTATATAGTCTAATTATTTGAAGTCTCGTTCACATTCGCGGTCGTTAAGTCACGTATCTCATGACGCCAGTGTCACAAGTAATGTACCTGAGGGGGGCTTCGTAGGTACTGGTGCTGTGTGGCCTTGACACATCTCTAAGAAAAAAAGACATTTGAAATTAAACTTTGTGCGTCAGCAGAAAACAAAACAGCACACACAATACGAGCTCGTTTCGTCCGCGATTCACTGTAATCTGCAAAACAATATAACAGCAAGGTCAAAAATATTTGCCGTTTTTCAATTCTATTTACATTATATACTATATTTATTGCGGATACGCGATAAACACTCCCCGGTAAAAATAAATCATATTATTATTAATCATTTATCTGAAGAAAAAAAAACTACAGTTTCCAAAACGAGTGCAACTAATATAATTCTACGTTCTAAATCAAAAGCATTAGAAGCTACAAATGGGTCGACGGTCGAATTCCCATCATTAGTGGAATGTTGGAATGTTTTCAGTGTTGCCAGTAGAACCTTCAGCCTTTCAGATAAAAAGTGAAACTTCAATGCGTTCGCGAGAAAAAAACAAACTAATTCAGTTACTGTTTCTGTGTGTTTACTAGTTCAGACAAGTCAGTTTTGAGGCAAATCGGTGACAATCAAAATTACGCCGGAATTGACTGCAGTTCAACATATCGCCTGGTCGTGGCGTGGCATAGAGTCATTGAATGTTCCCACAGTACCGAAAGCTCCCAAGCTTCGTTTCAGAACCGAGTCGCGGCGCAGCAGTCGCGCTCCAACTAAAGCCCGTCTATATCCTGCAAAACGTGGCGCCATTCATTGTTGTGGAAATTCTCGAGACACGTGCCGCGTGCCACTTCTGGGAAGAACATGGCGTCTGAAATCTAGCTCCGTGCTTCGCTGTGCCGCCATGATCTTCCCAAGGGCTGAAACGTTGCACGTGCCTCGTGCATCGACGCACCTTGCGCTACTTTTGAACCATGAAGGGGCTTTAGCTCTTACCCCTCCCCTAAAGCCCCTTCATGTTTCAAAAGTAGCGAGAGGTGCGACATAAAAATTTCCCGATACAAAAAAAGTTTGTCATGCCTTCCTATTGTCATGCTATGGCTCTGGGCCCGTTTGCTCGAAGCGCTAACCATGGCTAAAGTTACCCGCAGTACCTAGGAGAGGGATTTTGAAATCACGTGACTGGCTCGGTAGGGATGCGGGGAAAGATGGCGGTGCCCCGGTGAGTGAGCGCCGCTCGGTTTGGAACTAACATGTCGTTGTAGCTGCAATATCGGGCGCGTTAGTCAGCAACGAATAATGCAGGAGGCTTTCGCTTTGCCTTACCTCGCTTAAACCGCAAAGCATGGGCAATTACATCGCCGCATTTTTTAGATAGTGTTTCGATTCTGGCCATTCCTAAGCCTAAATGAACGCGATAATTGTCGGCATGGCAACGTCTTTGGAAAGCGGATTGTTGATAGCACACAAAAGTGGACAGCGTCCCGACAGACTTTTTTCTAAATTATCCAAGCATCGCGAGGAGAACGCTGGAAGTGTAATTCTAAGGTTCACGCGCGCTGGCCTTCCTCTTATAAAAGATTTGAAGTAAAAAATCATAATAAGGCTTTAACGACTGCGCGTGCAAGGCAAAATTTGTTTAATACTTTTTGCTTTAGAACTGTTACTACTACAGACGCCAGCACGTGCGACGCGTGCAGCTACAGTCGTAGCACGCACCTCGGTGCTTGGATAATTAAGAAACAAGGTCTGTTTGGGGTGCCTTCATGTGCGCTCTGCTTAGGGTGGTGGCATCTCGCCTATTTGTCACACACGTTTATTTTTATTTTTTGTTCAGAAGCGTGTGAAAGAGCGTGTCCCGGCACGCGCTTGTGGCGCTGACTGTGCTATGGCGACATTTTGTTTTCGTCGATTTCTTTGTATTTTTCCCGTGAGCGCGTGCTGTCGGCATGTGGTACTACAAAGGGTGGCATCACCCTGAACAGAAGGACATTGAGGCACCCTAGGTCTGTTGGGACGCCGTTTGCTTTTGTGTGCTATCAACAATCCGCTTTCCAAAGACGTTGCTATGCCGACAATTAGCGCGTTTATTTAGGCTTAGGAGTGCCCAGAATCGAAACACTATCTAAAAAATGCAGTGATGTAATTGCCCATGCTTTGCGGTTTAAGTGAGGTAAGGCAAAGCGAAAGCCTCCTGCACCATTCGTTGCTGACTAACGCGCCCGATATTGCAACCACAGCGACATATTAGTTCCAAAGCGACCGGCGCTCACTCACTGGGGAACCGCCATGTTTCCCCGCATCCCTACCGAGCCCAGTCACGTGATCTCGAAATCCCTCTCTTAGGTACTGCGCCTAACTTTAGCCGCGGCTAGTGCTTCGAGCAAACGGGCCCTGGTCAGTCTATGAACATCCTAGTGCCTCTCTATGGCGTGAGCTACAGATAAGTAGCTTACTAAAGTGGTGCCGGGTAGATGTTTTCGTTAGGTGCAAGGAGGTGTCCGAGTTAAAGAGTTGTTAATTAAGCGCCGAGCATCAATATGTTACATTGATATCTGGAGACATGTCCAACCTAAGGGCCTATTCAATGAGGAGGTGGAAGTGTTCAGTATGCACCGGAATAATTTCCTTACTCTCTCAGTATGGGTCTCCGCGGACCCCATGAGGGCTTCCCGTGAGCGTGAGTGAACAGTATTTCAATCCAGATGCATCCACGCTAGAAACTTCGTTACCCCCTGCAGACTCGGTGGTTTCTCACGGACCCCGTAGGTACTCCGTGTAGACCCTGTATGACTTCTCTGCATACCCCATAAACACCCTGTGTAGACCCTCTATAGCTTCCCTGCGCACCCCGTAGGTACAGCCTGTAGACCTTGTATGGGTGCTTTGCAGACCCCTTAAGGACCCTGTGCAGACCCTACACTCTTAACAAAAGCTGTCACAAAGCATGCTTTTGCGTAAAAACAAACGGAAAAAGCTCTTTTTTAGGATGTTTTATTAGAGATTAGTAAAAAAATGTCAAGAGCGTTATGTTTGCACAAAATTTTAGCTTATAGGGTTTTGCGGCACAATTAATACTGTTTTTATACGGCCCTGTCTCACAGGTGAATTCCGGTAACGTGTCCCGGCCTGGGTGCGTCCTCACAAAATTCTGCTCCTAAAATAACTCCGAGGGGTTCTTCGGCTTGTCTATAATTGGCGCCCTAAGAAGCTATTTTATTTATCCCCTAACTAAAGGGTTGTTCGTAAAGAAGCTATGCAGAGCACAAGTTCGTCTGGTTCTTGTTCAGGGGTTGTGGTGACATCAGAACGCCGAGCTCTGATTGGCTGCGATGGGAAGGATAGTTGGTAGACCTCAATGCTAGCTGCATTGAGATCTAGCAATGTAGTCAGCGGAGCGAACAAATATGCTGCACCTCATTTATGGGACAAAAGTCCATCGAAATAGACCACTCACCTGCGTTTGGAATTCTCGGGAGAAAAACGAACAGCAGCAGCAGCAGCAGCGGCGGTCGAGAGCTCCATAGCGACGAAAGGTATATGCCTGGGTTCGGAAGACTATATATACGTTCATACATTTGCGTCTGAGAACGGCCGAGTGCGTTGTGCCAACACCACTTAGAACATAAGGCCTGCGCAGCTCTCTCCCAGGCGTCATCACTAGTGAATCCAGGCAGCACCACATAGCCTGCGTCAGCATCGTCGACCGCGCGTTTCGCAAGCAACGTCTCACAGCAAGCGCGATGCTAACACAAGAAAGACGCGTCTACCACTTTGCGGCAGCTCTCATCGAGAGTGCGATTGCCGCTTGGGAAGGGTTGGAGATCCACAAACAATGACGTCATGAGCAGGCCTCGACTTCTATTGACGAGGAACCCGTTTGTCGTCCCCACACCTCGGTGTTTACGCAACACAAGGCCTGTGGGCATGATCGCAGGTCTTGTGGGCATGTCGACGTCATGATATTTACGTCACCTTCTTCAATAAAGCGCAGGGCACAGTGTAATGTGGCAAAGACTAACAATACACGAAGGGACGTTTATTTTTAGTGCCGGAGCCCTTCCAAAAGCATTCGTAAGAGAATGCGAGCTTTACCCAAATCCAGATTTTGTGCTGAGCTGGCCATAAGCACCGTGCATGCTGCATTGTTCATGCAGACCGGAGTGGTAACAAAAGAGCCCCTCCTCCCCTTCGGGAGACCGGAGCAAAGCACGATCTCCAGCCGAACGCTGACGCGGCGTTCTGTTATATCAGTCGGGCACCGAGTCATTGTTATTTATTGTCCTCATCCGTGTAGTTTTAAAGTTTTCCGCTTGACACTCCACGCCTCTGATCTCTTCCCCAATACTCGTGTTTACCTCAAGAACCTTGGTAAAAAAAAGTCCGGCTCTTATCAAGCCGTAAACGTTTCAACCGCCGAAAGCATCGCTTCTTCCTCAGACAACCAAATGTTACAAGAACTCCTTCGCGCGTCGTGTGAACAATGAGCAGAACTTCCTTTTAGCTTTAGTTGAAAACGATATGCGGAGATGCTTCACTCCTCCCGAATTAGGTTTCTGCGCACGCGCAATGCCCACACCTGGTGTGGCCAAAGCGGGCTTTTTTGGAAACACAGTGTTGGTGTGTCTGTCCGTTGCTATACTTTGTTTCACCTATAGTCCAGACGCAGCCGACGCCTGATGTGACCAATCAAACAGCGTCAAAAGTGCACAGTCATGGTGTTCGTCATGTCTCTGTACGTGTTCTACCATCGCTAAACCAATCATAAACAAAGATACCCAGTGACTTGCACTTTTGAAGCAGCTTGATTGGTCCCATTAGCTCGTATACCGTCGGCTGTGTCTGGACTTAAGCTGAAAAAAGTTTAGTTGTAAGATGTGGTTGTGTTTTCTTTGTAATTTTGGCTAGATCACTTTGCAAGTTAAATATAGTAACTGCCATCTGTTTTCGCCATGGCTCTTTGAACTATAAGTACTGCATACATAAGCGAGTAAACTGACGTCAGGGAAGAATGAAAGAGGAAAGTCACTTGTGTACACGACAAAGGGCACTGCTTCAACAACACCAAAATGAGTTGCTGCGCGAGTTGGTGAGACATGTTGACCTTAACAGCGCAAAAAAGGTAAAGAAGGAAGAGACAACAGGAAGGAGAGAGCGCTGATTCACAGCCGAGGTTTTAATGAGGAGGTAGTAAAAGAGAAGAAAAAAGTGCAGTAACATTAATAACGTAAGGAAGGAAGAGGAGGTAGAGTTGCAAAAAGTAACCTCTCTCAGAGTCAGATTAAAAAAATGGCCATTTGCAATATTAACCGATTCCCAAGTGAATATATCTATGTACCCACATTCTTATGTCAACTACAAAGTTGACGGTGACCCAAACGGTACTGCCATAGCCGCCTCTATACTCCCAAAGCCTGGCAGTTCGACGACGAAGCCATGGAGCGCCCGGTCGCAAATTTAGAGCGCGAAGATTTCATAGCACAGAGCATTCCTCTGGGAGCCTGTAGTCAGCGCACAGCTTTTGCAGCGGCAAGGACCCGAAACATGGTTTTCAAACCCGACGAGAAAAGGAGTGGTAGCGCGAAGAGCGCGAGGAGCACGAGCGAACATTCCATCGCTTGAGACAAGTTTTTTCAGCGTCTCGCCTCAGCGGGGCGCCCGTTATATGCCCGTCCTAGAGTTCCTGTATAGACTCCCTACTGGAGCCAGAGTTGCGCGTCTGTTTTCCACGTGCCGCCGCGCCTCTATTCGCCGAGATCCGAACACGTGAGGAGCCAGATCAAGTGCCGTGCAGGAAAGTAGACGTTGCACGCGCCCCGGCGTACGTTCCCCTGCTTTCGAGCGCGCCGCGCGCCTCGAACGCGCGGCGCCGCTATTCGCCGAATTCAGTCACGTGACGAGCAGGCCGTGCAGGAAAGACGGCGCTACGGAGATGAACGCGGAACTCTGGCTCCCGTACCGCTCATTCACACTGGAAGCGGATCCGCGTTCGCAAAGCGGTTGCGAACGCGGTTGTATAAAGATCCAGTACAATTGCACGCGCACTTGATGTCATCGAATGCGCGTGCAATTGCACTGGATCGTTATACAACCGCGTTCGCAACCGCTTTGCGAACGCGGATCCGCTTCCAGTGTGAATGAGCAGTACGGGGGCCTATACAGGAACTCCAGCCTGTTCTAAAGCCCCTTCATGTTTTAAAAGTAGCGCAAGGTGCGTCGATGCAAGAGGCACGTGCAACGTGCAGCCCAGAGCCACTAGATGAGCTACGCTTAGAGTATCGGCACTCCATACCCCGACATTGTTGTGGACGCCGCCATTTTGGCTCGTAAGCAGAGCAGACGCAACTGCCGATCATCATGATTCAAAAATGCGACTTCCTCAGCATTAGATTCGGTGTTAGGAAGGTCATGCATTGTTGCACTGCTCTGTCGCGAGCTGTTTAAACATTTGTGGAAGGCGGAAAAGCGTTTCCTGTGATTTCAGATAAAGCTTCAGATAACTGGACTACATGACTTTAAGACACAATATGATCAAGTGTCGTTATTCTGAAGCGTAGCTTATTTAGCGGCACTAGTTCAGCCCTCGGAAATATCATGGCGGCACAGTGCAGCACTGAGCTAGATTTCAGACTCCATGTTTTTCCCAGAAGTGGCGCGCGGCACGTGTCTCGAGCATTTCCACAACAATGAATGGCGCCATTTTTCCCTAAATAGAGGGGCTTTAGCCCGTCTTGCTCTCATCCATTGCCTGCCGCTCTACCTTTTCACTTTCGGCGGTCGCGTCTCGTGCCGATCTGCCAGGCTCTGTCAGTATAGAGGGGGCTATGGTACTGGCTATCACAAGAAGGAAGAAAGACGACAATTAGTTAGGGACTGAGATAGAAAAATTCGAGCTCTTTCGCCGTCAGAGCAATCGAAGGCGTACTTATGCAGGTTAGGCCCCGAATAGGGGCCTAGCCTACATTGTAGCCTAGCCTTTTTAAGCACGCCTTCGAGTGCTCTGATGGCGAAAGAGCTCGATTTTTTTTAAATTTTAGTTCCTAAATTATCGTCGTCTTTTTTTCTTTTTTCTTTCTTGTGATAGCCAGTTCCCTATGGGTCACTGTCAACTTTGTCGTTCACATGTAAATATTTGTACATAGATATACTTACTTGGTAATTGGTTAATAATGTAAATAGTCAATTCCTTTAAAATGACTCTTAGAGAGAGCTCAATTTTTGTAACCCTACCTCCTCTCCCTTCCTTACTTTATTAATGTTACTGCACTTGACATCTTTTTTCTCTTTCACTACCTCTTCATTAAACCACAGTTGTGAGTCAGCGTTTTTTCCTTCCTGGGGGGATCGGTGGCCCAGTGGGCTAGCGCACACCAGCTCAGAGCACGTGGAGCGGAAGATAGCGCTGTAGAACCCAGGGATCCTGGGTTCAATCCCTACCCGTTTCGATCGGGATGAGTATTGTACCGGCGGGCGGTCCTGTATCACTACTGCGTGATGCACGTTAAAGACCCCAGGCTAGTAGTCCTACTGGATTGGCTAAATATCTCATCTACAGTGGGTACCAACTGTGTCGCCATGTTCTGGCAGACTAAACTCCTGCTGCATAAACAACTAAGGACTAATTTTTTTGTTTCTTTCCTACCTGCTGTCTCTTATTTCCTTATCTTATTTGCGCTGTTTAACTTCAACAAAACTTTCTTACGGTTACGCCGGAAGTCACATAGGCTATTCTAAAACAGCAATACAAAAAAGCTGTCAACTACAGCCATTAAAAGGCAGTGTTGGGTAAAGTACATCTAAAAATACTTGAAGTAAAGTAAAAAGTAAATGAGAGATTGTGTACTTGAGGAAAAGTAATAAGTTCACCGGGTGCAATGTACTTGAAGTGAAGTACTATAAATACAACGTTATAGTTTCAAAGTGGACTGTCCAGGTACTCTTTAACGCAATCTTTTATTGTGCCTTTTTATTCAGCTATAAATGTTTTTCATTGGTATTCATTGCCCCAGGATAATCGGGGGTGCACAGTTATTTTCGAAAATGGCGGCGAAGATCGAATAAGTCAAGTAGTTACAGAGTTGACAACGCATAATCTTGTCACACAAATTTAACGAGACAAAAGTTGGGGAACGTACTTTGAAGTCGGGAGTTGTCCTTTCATTGGAAAGTACCAGAAAAAAATACCTTAAAGGCCGACGAACAGTTTTGAGATTCTGCAAGGCAGAAGATCCCCCTCACCATGGGGAAGGAGGAAACAGGCAACGGCGGACAGGGTAGAAGGGGGGAGAGGAGGAAGCGAGGGAAAAGGGGAAAGCGCGAACTGGTCGTCGGTTTTTAAATAAAGTGAAGGTACATACCCAGAGAAGGTAGTACCTCAAGTATTCTAAATCTGTTTTACGCTTCAAGTGGTTCAGGCTAACGACACTCCAGTCATCTTGATGGCTAAAACCGTGGTTGCCATATGTCTAAAACCATAATCTGAAATCGAAGGAACGGGTTTTCGGTCCTCCAGAGGCATTAAAGGGATGCTGAACCAAAATCTGGATTCCCCAAAACACGCGGCAAAAGCGTGCAACGG